AGCTTTGCTTTAGGGCCAAAAGGGTTTAGGGTTAAAAACGGTGTACTGGTAAGGGGGCAGGTTTGAGACAGGGTTTCGGGCTTAGGGTAAGGATTCAGGGGTGTGGGTGTTAGGAGGCAAGGTTTCAACTTCCTCTTGTCACATGATCCACCAGATCCAAAGCTAATAGGGGGAGCCCAAGGTGGGGTATAGGGTTTAGGGTTTGAGGGAAGCCTAGGGCATCAACCGGGATGGCAGGTGCAACGCTTCGGAGAAGGTGCGTCACCAGAGGAGATGCCTGCGAAGCGGGAAGCGAAGAAAGGAAAAACACGCGCTCATGTTTCAGGGTTTTTTTGGTGTTGAGGGTGTTGTTTCGGGCTCAGGTCAGAATCAGAAACATAATCATAATCATAATAATACTACTACCAATAACACTGGTTTACATTGAGGGATTCGGCGTCTCTATCACGACAGAGATCATCAGCCAGCCGCAAAGGCTTTGGTGCGGGCTGCAATCCATTTTCATGCAGATAGCAGGGAGTATATTCTTGACGGACGGATTGCAGACATTTAAAGTTAACATAGGTGTTGTCTTATCTAGAGGATGGGGGGCTTTCCGAGTTTTCCGACTTAGTTTGAGCTCGCTGCCTGTTCTGCCCTGTTGAGCAACTGAGCCTCTGTTCCGAGTTTCTGCTCTCAGGTGTTGTTTGCCGATTGTAACCACTGGGTTTTTCCCCATGTTTCGATTCGCGGCGGCTGTGCTTTCCAGCCTGGCCGTTCTTTTGGTACAGAGCCTTCGGCCTACAGACTCTTGGAATGCAGATGCCGCACTGCAGGCCCTAGGCCCAGAGTCGAGTCTATCATCCTAACATGTCTTACAAGCTAGCTCTCGATCAGCTTCCCCTCTCCACCTCTTCCTGCGACCCGGGTATCCAAGTCCCCACGCGACGAGGCTTGCTACACCCCGGGTTTCGGGTACTTAAAGGATCATGGGACTTAGTAACTAGGGTTATGATTAAGGTAACTATACTTAGAATTACTTAGAACCCCAAATAAGGTACTTATAATCTCACTTACTAAGTCCCATGATCCTCCAAGTAGAGCATGTAGGGAAGCCAAGGATTCAAGCGGTGACGCACTCCACCACGCCACGACGGGAGTAGACTTGCCACGCACCTGTGCCCCTAGATTGCCGAGGCAAAGCTTTCGGTTTTGGTATATTTTCTTGAGGTTTCTTCCAGACTTTCGGCTCGGGTGTTAAGAGTGCAACCAGGCAGGAGAAACATAGACAATAGTTTGTTTTCTGGCAGGAGTACTTGAACCCTAAAACGTAAACCAAAACCCTGGAAACCGAAACCCTAAACCCAGAATATCGCTAAACCCTAAACCCTAGAAACCCTAGAAACCCTAGAAACCCTAGAAACCCTAGAAACCCAAAAGCCAGCAGTATCGCTAAACCCTAAACCCTAAACCCTAGAAGCCCTAATTCCTAGAAACCCAAAAGCCAGGAGTATCGCTAAACCCTAAACCCTAAACCCTAGAAGCCCTAATTCCTAGAAACCCTAAAGCCAGGAGTATCGCCTCAGTGGCAGCAAATGCTGCGGGTGCGGTCCTCCGCCCGAAGTGCTGGGAAATCATGCCAAGGAGCGGTTTCGTATTGAAACTGGGCTTTAGGGTTTAGGGTTTAGGGTTTAGGGTTTAGGGTTTAGGGTTTAGGTTTGGAGTACCATACTTTAATACTTTTTGTTTGGGACCTGTTCCTTAAAGGAACCATTATGAAATAGAAGTCTATACCTTTTTCTCCCTGGTTGCTTCAAAGCCCAGGAAACGAACAAGACGTACGGATACATCGACCGGATGTGCTCCCGAGCGACCAAGCCAGAAGACCTCAGAATATGCTGCCCTCTTTGGGCAGTGGATTGCAACGAGGACGACTACTACTTCGAGCATGGGCTAGAGAGAGACTGTGCCCCAGAACCACGGGACTGCAAGCACTATGAGTGCCGGGATGTTTCGCGCAAACTCCTGAGCATGGAGGCAGCTATCGAAATTTCCGCACCGAGGTATCTGATACCTTGGAAGAAAGGCTGCTGAAGGATTCGGCTGCAGGGGTGACCGGCCACGGGAGGGTTTGCAGCTGTGCTTGTGGTGAGCTCGTGGACGAGGACAAGTTGACGTGCAAAGTACTGACCCTTGGCATCATTGGCTTTAAGGGTTTAGGATTTATAGGGGTTTAGGGTTTAATTTGGGGTTGACTTTGCCACTAAGTATTTCTTGACATCTGCAACATTCGGCACATTTGCCAGAAGCCATCATGAAACAACACTTAGGCCCCACAGGTTCAAGGGACGTTTCCAGCTGTCAATTTGCTTATGTTCCTTGGTAGAGTAACACTATAAAGGAAGCCTATTCTAGAACCCTATAGTAACCCTACTCTAGAACCTTAGATAGTACCCTTATGTGTCGCAGCTTCGTCGAAGACACAGTGCATGTCCGCCTCTGCTGCCAGCGTCTTGAATCTTGGAAACTCCATCCCCCAAGCAATTGAACAACGCTGTTTAGGGTTTATGCCCTAAACTTTAGGGTTTAGGGTCTTCAACCTGCATGCATGTATGCATGTATGCAAAAAGTGTGCGCATGTGGCGTACTGCACTGGAATGGAAAGCGAAGCATTGCTCCGCAGTGCACTGAGAAAGGGAATGTGTGGGTATGTGGGTATTTAGTCAGTTCTCGAAATTAGGGTCCCTTTTTGGGTCCCCCATATAGTACGGCACCCTTATAATATGGACCCTAAAAGGGACCCTGATTTAGAAAACTACCCATTTGCATGCATACATGCAAACATGGAGCTACTTTCGTAGGCAGGTACGCAGGCAAGCAGGTAGGGCGGTAGGTAGGCACAAATGAGGGTTTAATTGCGTGCTGGCCGTCCACCAATGCCAGGAAAGGGTAGGAGGAAGCAAAAAGTAAATTGTATTGGTTATCACAACAACACCAGCAACAATTGTGGCAGCTATTGTTATTATTGTTATTATGTGTGTACTGGTACTGTTTGTGGATGTCCGTGTCATTTCGGTCTCTGGACGACGCCACTTATTCTTTGAGCTGCTGGGGTTGTTGCTGCTGGCGCTGGGGTCGTTGGAGTTGTTGTTGCCGTGGCGGTCGTAGGGTTGATGTCGTCCTCCTCCTACTCGTCGTCATCGAAGTGGTTGTATTTTTGATAGTGATAGTGGTTGTTGTGTTTGGTGATGTTGCCTTTCTTGTTGTCACTGTCCGTGTCAGTTGCCTCATAAAAGATACCACCCCATTCTAATTAGTCAGGCCCCCCTATTTTGCTGCATCTTCCTGAGCAGAAGTTCTGTTGTCATGCAGTTATCGTTGTCGCAGTAGTGTGGAGTCCTCAAGAATCCACCACCCTTTTTCAAGTGAGTAGCTTAGAGCCTTAACCCCTAAACCCCTAAACCTTTAAACCCTTAACCCCTAAACTTTTAAACCCCTAAACCCTTAACCCCTAAACCCCTTAACCCCTAAACCCCTAAACCCTTAACCCCTAAACCCCTAAACCCCTAAACAGGGGAGTATCAGGTCTAGCCCGAATCTCTAAACCCTATCCTAAGCTGCTGGAATAGAGCCCATTCAAGACCAGCAAGAGACGATGTGCATGAAAAAAGCTGGAAATGGAGCAAGCCCTAAATCTGTCGTTTGACTTTGTGACCCTGAACTCCCTAAACCCTGGACCCTGAACCCTAAACTGCTTCAACACCCTGAAGCCTGATCCACAGGGTCCTAAGCAGCGACATCGTAGAATGTAGGGTTTTTTTATAGTAGGAATCACTGGTATGATTTGGGAAAATAGGCCCCATAACTACCGTGCCTACGGCCCTTTGGGCAAAGAAGCTCACCAGGAACTCCTCCTGGTACTGCTCCGACGTCCAGCCCTGTTGTCGTCGCCTTACCGAGGAGCAGAAAGCAGATCTTAGCGGAGTTTTGGGTGTATTTGGGTGTTCATCTAAGGGCTTTAGGAGGGACCCTTAATAGGGACCCTTGTAGGTTATTGGGTTGATATGGAGACTACCTGGCTATATAAGGGGTATATAAGCACTATAAAATGGTTATTTAAGGTAATGGGATTAAGGGTCCCTATGAGGGGTCCCTCCTAAAGTCCTTAGGGTTCAGTCGTGTCTTTATTAGGATCATGAGGGTGTTGAGCAGGGTGTGTAGGTGGGGTTTTCATCCACGCTTGCTCAGGTAGTTCTCAGAAGGGTGTGTCTGAGTTTATGAAGCCCTAAACCCTATAAACCCCAAACCCCACACCCCCTAAGCCCTAAATCCTAAACCCTAAACCCCCTAAGCCCTAAACCCTAAACCCCAAACCCCACCCCCCCTAAGCCCTAAATCCTAAACCCTAAACCCCCTAATCCCTAAACCCTAAACCCCAAACCCTACGCCCCTAAGCCCTAAACCCTATAAGCGCGAAGGCTCCAAGTTCATTTCAAGAAGGGCCCCTCGGTCAAGGCAGCCATCATGCCTTTAACTTTTTGGGGCTTCTATAATTATAATCCTACTATACCTGAAAAGGTTAAGCTGTTTCGCGCTCGGGTTTTTAGGGTTTAGGGTATACTTAAAGGATCATGCGACTTAGTAACTAGGATTATAATTAAGGTAACTATACTTATAATTACTTATAATCCCAATTAAGGCACTTATAACCCTATTTACTAAGTCCCATGATCCTCCACGTAGGGTTTATTTAGGGTTTAACTAAACCCTAAACCCTAAACCCTAAACCCTAAACCCTAAGGTATAGTCCGTAGTTTAGAGGTATTGGGCTCGCTGGCGACACGCCA